TGCAGAGGCTGTATTACCTCTGAAATGATGAAATACAAGCAGGTGTCAGGCTGCTGCTGAATGACAGCTAAAGCTTCAGATTGTCTCATCACTATGAGATCTCATTGATCCAGTCCAGAAACATAAAAGAAAGAGAAATCATTACTGAGAAATATGTGTAATATGAGTCATTCTCACAGCTAAAGCAATTACCCATCAGCCCATTCACAGGAGCACTGGTGTCATTGAGCGTTCGATCTGTCTCTTCATTCTCTTTATCAAATGAATCTCACATCACATGTTGCATTTAAGATGGTGTCTTTCAGGTTTATTTAAAAGATGCTTGTATTAGAAACACAGTTGTGTTTATCTGATAAGAGTCCTCCTGTTTTCTGCTCTGCTTGTGTTAAATGAGCTTCATCCTCATGCTCAGCCCTCTCTGTGTCCATTCACTTATTAAGTCAATCCCTCCACCTCTAACATTGTTTTATTGTTGTTGAGCTAATATCTATGAAACTCAACACTTCCTAGATTTTGACCATTGAAAGCCAAATCAAAGGCTGTAACCCTCCCATTACAGGAAGTGTAGCAGTGCAGGCTTTAAATAGAGAACTGACGGCAGGTAGCTGCGTCTGGTACAGACTGTAACAAGCCCGTCCAATCATTTGCTTCAGCCTGAACAGATGACAGGGCTCTACCTGCTTGTTTACCAGTGTGCACACTCCCAGTGTACTCACGGAGTCTTCTACAAATTGGAGATAAAACTTAGCTGAATTTCAGGAGCAGGACCACACCTCAGCCACTCCCCCACTTCCGGACACACTCCTATAAATACCCACCGACACTAAACCTCGGCTTGCCACGCCTTTCGCATCCCACCCTCCCTCCCTCTCTTTAAACCACTTCACTAAAGGTTATCTCACCCCATAGTCACCATCCACCGTCCCATATGGACCGGGGGGTCTGCAAGGCCCGGGAGCCGCAGTGGACCCTCAACCTAGCCTTTCCCCAAACCGCTTCATCCAGGCTAACCTCCACCAACCATTCCTCAAACTCTCCAAACAACCGACGAAGGCTCGCTCCGGCCAAGGTGGGGCCCTAAGCTAGTGAACTGCTAGCTTCACTTCATAACACTACTGCTCTGACGATGAAGGTATTCATCAGATACAGTCCCTGCTGAGGTTTTATTAGCCTTGTTTCAAAACTGGTACATAGCACCAATACACCAGTGTGATGTTTCCACAATGAGAGATTCCTTCTGACGGAAACTAGTAGGATGACAAGAAAAGGATGTTTGAAATAGAGCTGAGTCAAGTGACTTCAGTCCTTCAGAGCAAACAAACACTGGTGCGAAACTCCAACTGCCAACAAATGCATCAGAATCAAATCTCTCAAAATCAAAAGCTCTTTGATCTTTGAGCTCTTTGCTTGGATTGCTGAGCAACAGCCTCACCACAGCGCTCACACAAAGCGCTGCATTGGTCACTGAGCTGAGAGGAAACGCTAATAAAGATAGCCATGCAGCTGAAAGATGAGAAGGATTGAACGACAGAGAGAGAGAAAACAGATTGTCTGTGTGATCAGTGGGAGACCTTTCTAATGTGTGTGTGTGTGTGTGTGTTAGTCACCCTGCTTTAGATGTAGGACTCCTGTTACTGGAGGCCAATGGAGGCCTCCTCCCTCACTCACAGCCAGCAGTTCAGTGTGACTGACGGAGCCATGGAGCGTCTGTTGTCTAAAGGCTAAATGCCTTCACTTGCAGACACTACACACACACTGCTAAAGAATGTTTCATAATGAATGTATTCTGGGTTTGAATTCTTAATTCAGTAAGATTGCCAAGCTGCTGTGAATAGACTGACTCGTGTTTTTGCACCCACACTGTGTGTGTCTTCAAGATGTAAGCTAGCAGTGTGGGAAGACACCAGAGACACCTGAGAATGTGATGCAGAAGCACACAATGTTCCATGTTCACCCTCAGAGTGCTCTCTTCATATATCATACATTTCTATCTCCTGTCATGCTAGAAAGTGAGTTTTCTGTTAAGTCCCGAATCAAAAGAGAATCAGTGTTTTATTTAACACAGCAGACCAGCTCTCGTTCTGGAGCCGAATGGTCCGAATGGTGCCACAAGTCTCTCAACGGCAGAATGAACCATAACTTCAATTAATACGGCAGCGCCCTGAACTAATATTAGTCATTTAGCCCATGTTAAGAGCTAAGTGTTAAACTTTAATGTGACAAGTTAACTTGCCTTAAAGTGCTCTTCTCAAACGTAAGGATGGATAACTGCTGCTTATCCAGCGCTCCACAGAGTCATGCAATAAGCACTCTGACTGCTGGAAACCATTGATTCTTTAAACCCTAAGAATAAATGTATCTGCTTATCAAGTGGTCATTTCAAATGTATTTTGTTATGTTATAACAGTTGAGTCAACATTTAATTTGCAGAGTTGAGGTTTTCATTTTTGTCTTCAGGGACTAAATGATGCTGACGTATAGCAAAGCAGATTATCAGAGTCGTCACTGTGGAACATGGACGATCTGCTAATGCCTTTCAAGCCATTTAAATGCTTGGCATGCCAATTACACTCTGCAATGTTAATCAAAGTACAGTTCTTTAGCGAGGCTGGTAAATGATAGGGATCAGTGGTCATCAAGTAGTTTTATTTCAGATTGAAGCTATGCAGGATCAAAGATGAAAGGGAATGATGCTTTTACAGGAAGTCAATGAGGCAGGCAGCGTAGGGAGAGCTGGAGGCGGGAAGAAGACGCCGTTACTGATGCTGTGTGACCATCTGATCAGCAGAGTGATCACAAGTGATACACCTGGGAGTCAAACCAAGGTTTGTTTTCACACTGAGGTACAGGTCTCATCTCAACCTGCGCCTAAAGTAGTGAAGCAAAGTCTGCAAGATGATATCAACTCAAATGATGGTGTATACTTGCTTTCTGCACCTTTGTGATTATGGCGGTATACATAAGCCACAGGTACTCTGCCAGTCTGCTCACCTGAAAGACTTTTCTTTGGTCTTACCCTGACTGGTGATTATTCTTTTTCTTTAGAGGATCGACTCATTGATCACAGCTGTGGGGTTGGAATCAGCATCCAGTTTGTATCATGGCTAGAAGTGAGATGCTGGTCCGATGATAAAGTACTGAAGATCAGGTCACCTTTTTAGGCCACAAATGAAGGAAAACTGCAGCAACAAGCCAAAACACAACATCTGACATATGAACACTTTACCAACCTGTAACAGCTAACATGTTAGCACACATCTGTCTGTTTACACGTCCAGTGGACAAAGAACAACTCTAGCATTCATCTGGAGTCATGATTTTGGTCAAAACAATCGATTCTGTCCTTTGAGCTCTGTCTTCTCTTTAGCTGTACGATGTTGATGTTCAGCTTCCTTTCCCAACCTCAGTGTGTCTGCGTGCTGTTTGGAGCTCTTCCTCTGAGGTAGAGGAGGGTGGAAGCTGTGGGCTGGAAAACACAAAATAGAAATGATGAGATAGAAGAGGCTAAAACACTCTGAGGGAACTGCAGAGTTCTTTGTGGATGTATCACTACAGACGACCCTTTTTACAGTGCACGTACGTCATTTCATCCAGTGTTACTGACAAGAGAACACTGATTACTTGAGCTTTAAGCTTTAACTGTAAAACTGGACACAGAGTAGCGGCAGCAGAACATAGCCGTACACAATGTAATGTGATAAAAGAAAGCAGGTTGACCTGTTAAGGACCCGCCCTCTTTTTACAGTGGAACTGTGTGTTTGTCTTCCATGTCCCTGCCTGGTGATATCTGTTGTGTAGATGATGCATTGTGGTTATTGTGTCTATGTCTTTGTTGATGTATTGTGTATGTCTTTGTTCATGGTGACAAACCAGTTTCTCCTCTGGGGATCTGTAACGTTCATGCGATCCTGTTGATGCTTCTAGTTGGTGGTTGTAGCTCCACTGAGCTGTCTGATTATACCTGAGCTCTGTGCGTTATGACCTGAGGGTCCCAGACTGACTGACCCACCTGAACTACTCCTGAGCAGTGATATAAAAGCTTGTGTGTTGTGTGCCGTCCACAATAGCAACAATGTGGACAACTCTGTTTGTATTCTGCTGGCCTTGCTGGTGGAACTGTGTGCTAGTTTTACCGTAATCTCTGGGACCTTGAACTTTCTTTTTCTCACATTAGCAATTGTCCTTCTACTAAACTAGGGGCAAAACACTTTGAGCTGGTTCAATTAGTCAGGCCAAGTTGTCAGGCCATTTAAATTGTGTGGAGGTAGAGGCATGACTCAGAGGTGACACCCAGAGAATAATAACTCTCCTCCCTCACATTCTCACTTTCTTCATCTCTGTTTCTGTGGCTCTCCCTCTCTGCTCGCGCTCATTCAAGCCACTCTCCCCTTCCTCCCGCTGCCCTCCTCCCTCTCTAATGGCCCTGACAGAGATAGTGTGTCATTAAGAGAGTGGAGATAGAGTCTGCTTGATGAGGTGGGGGGTTGGATGATTGGCTAGCTGGATTCTGCCTTTGACATTAGCAGGTCTTCTCTGTCATCTAGGTAGCACGATACCAGCACACACACACACACACACACACACACACACGTCACAGTTATTCTAACAGAATGAACTAATTCAACCAAGGACACATTCACACCTTTGTTACAGGAGATGGATGTTAACATGTGACTGCTGAGCTGAGCTGGGGTCAGTCTGGACTGATGCCGTGCTCACATATCTCAGTGTGTGTTTTTCTGGGATCTTTTGCTCAACTTAAGTTAGATGGCTGCAAATCAAATTTTAATTGTCACTTTTCAGGATATTTGTCAGAAAGAAGAGTGAGTCCATCATGTAACTTTGGCTTTTGAAGTCTGTTTTTTCTATGAATGAGCAGTTTGAATGACACACTTCCAGGTCTCACCTGTAGGTGTGTCATGGTACTGTACGTCATTAGTATGGAGGTGAAATGTCTGACTGACGCTCTCTGTCTCTCTATGTCTCTCGCCCTGTGGCAGGTCGGCTCCTCAGGCTTCGTCAGAGCAGAGCAGCAGCAGTGACAAGAAGGAGCGTCCCATGAGCACTATGAGCGAGGCGTCGAACTACACGGGTGGCTCCGACTACAGCACCTTCCCTGGCAGCCCGGCCACCACTGTCACTACTGCCACCAGCACCTCCACTTCATCCACACGGGTCAGCCTCCAGCCATACAGGCCTCACATCTTAAGCACATCTCTGTTAATCACACCTCTAATAATAACTTAGCTTTCTATAGCGTATTAGCAGAGAGAGACTTACTGAGGTGGATGAAGCTGAATGTTTTACACAGTGTGGTTATAAGAGGGGAGGCTGCTGGAGGCCTGTAGCTCTCATACTGTACTGTGTTCTGTGTACAGTACTGTACTACAGTGTACCACTCTCCTCATATACACACCAGTGATGTTATTACTCTTATTACATGAACAGAAAGTGTAACACTCCATCAACACGTGTGTGTACGTGCAGTAACACATGCATAATCCAATGTTTGCGAACATGAGCTGGTTGTCTTCCAGTCTTTGTGATAACTGATATTAATTATTATAATGTATTATTATTATTATTAATAATAATACATTATAAAAACTAATAATAATACAAACAGACGTGAAATTGGTATTAATCTTCTTATCCGCCAGAAGGAGAACAAGCGGTTTTACTAAATGTTGTACCTTTAAATTGTCAGTTGCATGTTTGATTATGCAAACGAAGCGCTGCTCAAGTTCAACAGGTCGTCTCTGATCGTTTTTACATTCATCCTTCAGCGTACTGATAATTGATGAAATGAATAAAACAGATGCACTTAAGTGATTTACACCAGCAGTAAGCCGTAACCCCTGAAAGAGTTGTTCCCATAATGCAGTGCTGTAGGTACCTTCAGGCTGGAGAAGCAGGCTACAGCACCTCATATCTTTAAGTATTCATGAGAAGTCATTCATTAGAATCGAGCTGAGCTCTATTGCTTGAGAAACACAGAGAACGACACACATAAGAGGTGTGTTTATGGTTAAACCGGCTGAGAAGAAGCTGAGAACATTTCGAGGATGTTTCACAATGTAAATGATTCAGTTGTGTGTGTTTTCTTTTGCTTTAATGCCACACAGTGACTACATGCAGGCAAGAGCAAACCTGTGCTAGAGTAACGAATCCACACACACTAGTTTCTCTCAACGTGACACAATCTGTTCCATTATGCAGCGTCCTGTACAAACCCTGTCTGCTAGAAACTACAACTGTTTACGACCAGTCTGTAACAGCAAATGTACTAAATACAATCTAATGTTGCCTGATTTATTTTTCGTCATCAACATGATGAAGACGCTTTTTGTCAATGGACCTAATGTATTTTCCAAATTGTAAAACTCTAATTCTGAACATACCTGCAAAGTGTTGACTGACAACAAATCTCTTTGTTTGCCGACAATATCAGAGCAGCAACGGCAGCTTATTATTATTATTATTATACTATATTATATATATATATATAGTATCCGGTATATTATATTATATTATACATGATTTCTGTTCAAGCTCGAATCCTTTGTGAGCTTCGGGACAGTCTCAGTTGAATTGTTTGCTTGTCCGTGGTGACCTGAAGCACAAGACAGCATAACAATTTAATATTAAACCAAAACCGCAATCTAACCCTTAAATTAGTGTTTTAAGTCAAATCATTTTTCTGATACAACCCAGAATCACAAATGTGAAATGTGTTGTAGTAGCTTAACCTAAACGTAACCACATGCTAGTAAATACATTTCTCCTGAACAACACTTGATGTACACAAGTAACTCCTGGGAGACGGGCTGACTGTGGACAAATGTAAACTTAGGAGTAAGAAAATAAAGTGAAATGATCATCCACTGTGGAGTGTGCATGTTGTCAGGAGATTCAGATGTGATAGTGGCTCTAGAGGAAAACCAGAAACATTAAGACACTTCCCTCTAATGAGTACAACATCTGGAACTGGTTCAATGACATCATTCTATTTGTCTTGAATGTAGACTTAATCAAAGCACTTCTTGTATCTTTCTGCTATTGACTTGTCTGCTGGAGTGCAGCATCTTGTCAGTGAGCTATGATGTATGGGGAATGTGGAATATGCTTTGTTTAATGAGCTGAATACATCTGCCTCTGTTGTTGCTTTTTATAGCTGCTGGAAAAGCTGCTGTTTTACAATACAAGCGTCTGTACAACCGATGCACCGAACACTTGTTGAGATCAGGGGAGGGATGCTCCCTCTATATCGCTGGATGGAAACAAACTACAGATTACAAATACATCACATTCTGTGTGACTTGTTTGTTGAAAAATGTACATTTGAACTGTAATGCAAATGTTTAGAGCTGAAAATAAGTATATATACAAATGTACCCGTCCATGTCTTTCTGCAGCCATCAAGGTCTTTCAAAAAAGTTCACAACTTTGGAAAGAGGTCAAACTCCATCAAGAGGAACCCCAATGCCCCGGTGGTCAAGAGCAACTGGCTTTACAAACAGGTACAGGAGGAAGGCCGTTCAGTGGAAAGGTTATGGGATGTGGTTGAGTGTGTGTGGGACAAAGGGGTGTGATAGAAGACAGGTGGGGGAATATGGCTTGGTGAAAGGTACACACTGATGAACATAAAGTAGTAGTATTATTCACTGCATTTGGAATTTATTCAGTTTTATTGTATGTTACTACAGTGAAAATAATTTTGTAAATACACTTATTTGCTTTTTATTTTCAAGATAAAGATAAGAAATATCAGTTACAATCTCAGGACTGTATATTAACTCCACAGCTGGAGTCAGGACATGGTTAGCCTAGCTTAGCATAAAGACTGGAGGCAGGGGGAAACAGCTAGCCTGACTCTGCCCAAAGTCCAAAACATACCTAACCACACTTCTGGTCTGTTTAATCCGTACACAAACATGAAACAATGAAGAGAATGTGTGGTTTGAGGGGAGTTACGTGTTGGAACAGTGCAACGTTCATAGAGATTTGTTGGGAGATCTGTTATTCAGTTAGGCCACTGTTTTATCTGTCAGTATCGGTGTGTTCTCATGGTGAAATATTGTTCCTAAATAGCACGACATGGGACATCCTGCACACACTTAGTATTTTTAAATAGCTAAGCTACCGTCAACAGCATTTTTTTGATTTACGTTTCCCGGATTTTAAAAAAAGGCAGCCGGCAAAAAGAAACCGTGTACATTACGTACACCTCGTACAGTTGACAGCGCAGACATTCCTCTGTTTGGTTGCCAATGAAAGGGTTCAGCGAGTGTCGTGTTGAAGATGATGTTACAGCAGTTTCACACATTGCTGTTCTGACGATCAGCTGAGAATCTGGCCTACATTGAGGGGGTACTATCTGTAGTGTGGAGTAAAGGACCTGGTACCATTGGTGAGGCGAGTCAAGCAGAAGCATGCAGTGGGGATGAAGCCTGTGTCAGGCTGAACGATGAGGTGACACTAAATGGCAGCTGAGTTTCCTGATGTGTTGGGTTGGACACGTTGAGTGCTGCTGCAGCGTGTCTGTGGAAGCGGAGGGAGAGGGATTATCCTGTTAACGCTGTGGGGCTTGACTGGACGTTAGCTAGCTTAGTTTGAGGCTTAGCTTGTTCTTCATTCCCTTTCCACCCACTCGTTGTAAGTTAAGCAGTTTTCTTCACCCCACAGAGATCTACTGTGGGTCATTTTTTCAATTGGTCTGTGGATCTGTGACCACTGTGCGACTTCCTGAAGACAGCCCCATCGAGCACTATTCAACTCAGCTTTCAATAACCCGCATCTCTGCATTGGCCCCTGTGCTGCTGCTCACTGCATTCACATTGAGATGAGCATCGATTCACTTCACACCAGCATAGCCCCTCTCTTCCCCACAGACCTGTCAGGCATAGAGCTCCCTGACAGAAGAAACGTCATCAGTGTTTACCCGAATACGACATACTGCAAACAGTGAGCAGATGGTCTCCAAAGACGTAGTATTGTCACTGCAGTCATCACGGCACAAGGGAGGGTAGACTCTTCAGACCCAAACACTGTGAAAGCGATAACTGAAGCTCCTATGGTGCACTGATGGCAGCAGATAAGCACTATTTTGGGGAAACGTCGCTTTTTAGGCAATATTTGTGATTATTACAGATAACCCTTAATCTTTTAACTCAATCTAAATAATGAATATTCTGGTTCTAAACTGTAAAGTGGATAAGATTCAATTATTTATATGATGATAAAAGTTAACTAGATAATGTGAAATTGACGTCACACGAAGCGCTAAAGGTAAGACGTATCATTCTGTTGGAGTTGTTGGGTCTACTCGCTGTTGTACAGTGGTGTTACAGAGTGAAGCTTCTTTTACCTCATAAACAATCTTTGGCCAAGCACAGATACCTCCTGTAGAGAGCACCCAGAACCCTCTCTGGTGGTTCTTTTCAGATGCTTTCCACCCTCTAAGAGTTGTAACAAGAACCCACCCGGGGAGGTCTACTGGGAACCTTTTCTTGTTCCAAGGATGTCCCTCTTAAACCCAGGGGTTGCTAATGAGGCTCTTAAAGGGGCAGGGCTGGTGTGGTGTGGTGCTGCACAACCCACGACAATCATGGTTCACAATCACAGTATTTGGGAGTGTGTAGGCTGGGAGGATATTTTAACACATGCTTACAGTCATTGAGGAACTCAATCTTCCAAGAAGGGTTCTTTGGATGAAAAGGGTTCCTGATATTCAAGACCCATTGAAAATATCTTTCTTCAAAAACTTCAGAAGCAAATTGTTCGCTGTAGAAGCAGGTCTGTAAAGTGAAGTCAAAGCTTCATGTGTTAGAGCTGCATTCTCTCTAGTGTCCACCAGGGGGCGACTCCTCTGGTTGTATAGAAGTCTATGAGAAAATGACTCTACTTCTCTCTTGATTTATTACCTCAGTAAACATTGTAAACATGAGTTTATGGTCTCAATCTCTAGTTTCAAGTCTTCTTCAATACAGCATGATGTTCATTTAGTACATTATGCTCCATTTAGAGTCAAACAGACCATAAAGCAGGGGATGCTTTAGGGCGGGGCTACACTGTAACTACAGTGTTGTCCGTGTTTTCGTCTTACAACTTCAACCCTTTCACAGTGTATTTTCACTTCATGAAAATTAATTGTAAACATGTTTGTCACCTAAAAGTGTCTTATTCAGTGTTTGGTTGAACTTAGCTCCACACTTTCATCTCACTTCTGGTTGCAAAACCAAGATCATAACGTCGTAATGGTAACTACCAAAATGCCAAACTTGAGGCTTCAATACAGCAGTCCACAAGGGGGAAGTCTCGGTGACCACGTTCACTTCTTACATACAGAATATGGTAGAACCAGCCCTTCAGAAGAACCTATCGGAACGCTTTCTTCCAAGAGCTTATAAAGAAGAACCAGAGCAGCAGCATAGAGAACAAAGCACAGGCTTTCGCCTCGAGCTCCACAGAGGCAAATTTGTCACTGCGTTATGAAGAGATAAAAAAGAGTAATTTGTCTCAGAGGGGGAGATAGAAGCTGGTTAAAAGAAGCAGCCAGAGGGGGAGACAGTGAGGGTGTCAAGAGAAGGGAAGTGAGGGGAGATCAAAGCAGAAAAGCTGTTGCTGTGTGTGTGTGTGTGTGTGTGTGTGTGTGTGTGTGTGTCGGAGTGAGAGAGAGAGTCACTTGGTTTCTGTAATCACTACACTATGACGGACTTACTGACAGTCTGTGACCTGTGACCCATGCAGGACAGCACAGGCATGAAGCTCTGGAAGAAGAGGTGGTTCGTTCTGTGCGACATGTGCCTCTTCTACTACCGCGGTGAGGACACACACACACACACACACACACACACACACACACACACAGACACACATCCAAATGTATGATGCAGGCTGTTAAATGAAATAGGTTTAACTGTCAAATCAAAAGCAAGTCCATATTTTGTTCAAGGGCAATTCAAGAAGGCGCTTTCACTATTTCATCATCGTACTCATGAAGGCAGAGCCATGCAGCCATGCATGTTAGATTGGTACCAACAGAGACCTGAGTTCAAGTTAGGTTCAGTGCTCTAAACAGGAAATGAGAATATATCTTGTGGAAGAATACTGTATGCACAAGCTAATTAGAATATTTCCATTTTTGATTGCTTGAATGTTTTGGAAAGAATAACTTAGTCACTAGTGGTATCCAGCCATGCTCTGGTGGTGCTGTCATCATTGAAACCTTTTGCTGAGCTCATATACCTTTAAGGAGCTAGTGTAACATAGATGACACGCTGTCACACTGTTCTTAACTTAATGAGAAGCAGTGTAACGGGGAAGAATATGGGTCAAGAGTTGAAGCGTCCTTGCCAGTTAAAAGTAGTTGTCCTTGCTTTCAACCACATTACATCACCGCTAATTTAGAACTTTTACGTTCACAAAAGCTCATCTGTTCCTCCTTCGTGTCTCCTAAACCCTTGAGAGAGATTTTTCCATCTCCATAAATTGACAAATTAGCCGCTCCCAGAGCGCAATCAGCAGGCGCTTTCATGACGAACTCAAGGGAAGATTGGATGTTTATTGGCTTAGCCAGCCAGAGACGAGAGAGAGGAGGCGTCCTCGGGAAGGACAATGACGTGCTCGGCTCTCCGATAATAACTTCTTCTTTTTCCATTTTCTCCTGCCTGCTCTGTCACTTTATCCTAAGTACCTTCTGTCACTCAGGCTGGGAGCTGGTTGCAGGATTTGGATTTGTTGCACTTAATTCTTTTTGTATGAGCAGAGATGATAAACATCTACTGCAGATCTCGTCTTAATTCATTCTGTGTTTACATGCACTCTAATAATTCCATTATTACCAGAGAGTGGCAAACACTAATGATGTCAGCTGTCATCACATTACATGAAGCAGGTTATCGAGGTTGTCACGATGTTTCACAGATAAGCAGAGCAGGATTCATCCTCTGTGAGCTGGAGGGTGGAACGAGTACCAACATACTTGATGTACTGTTACTTTAAATATCTTCTACTCAAGTCAAAATAGATGAATTGTTCAAATTCAAATAAAAGTAAAAAGTAAGTAGCCCTTCTCTTTATAAGCATAACAAAGCACAGAATGAAGTGCATTGACATGTTGCGTCACATCGTTTATAATGTGTAAGTGCACTTGACTTACTGTGGCTCAGGAAGTACAGCGGGTCCATTAATCAAGGGTTGGCAGTTCGATCCCTGGCTCCACACGTGGAAGCCTGTGTGTGTGTGTGTGTGTGTGTGTGTGTGTGTGTGTGTGTGTGTGTGTGTGTGTGTGTGTGTGTGTGTGTGTGTGAATGGGTGAATGAGTGAATGACAGGCCAATTGAAAAGCACTTTCTCCATTAAGGTAGCAAAGCGTTGTATAAGTGCAGTTAATTTGCTATTTAACTTGTCATGTTTGTGCTTAAAGTGGACGTAGTGCTTCAAATACAGTTTGGTAAATGTTGAACTCAGTTGAATTTTTTACATTTCCACTTTTCTGTGAATGTAAAGCCTGTGATTATTTGCAGATTTATGTAAAAGCTTACAGCCTACTGGGACGTTGCACTTCTATAAACGAGCAGGAAATGTTAGTCCTACAATGTAATTCAGACGTGATGATGAATGGAATGCATCAGTGGACCCGTACAGAAGCCCTCATAAAGCATCAGCTGAGTGGAGTAGAGACATAACTTACTCACAGTAATGAGAGTAAATGTAATTCATTACTTTCTCTCCATGTAGTTATGCACAAGAAGATAAGTTGTGTGGACACATTATTATCTTGTCCATAAATACTATTACTATTATAAGGTACAGTTACTAATTACCTTTTGGGCACAAGTTATTATCTTGAAATAACTTTGTTGAAGAAGATATGGATCTAAAATCTTGGGTGCACAAATTATTTAGTTATGTGTTCACACAATATGAAATATCTGTCTTTTGAGGATCCACAGGTGCCCAAAAGTATAAAATAAGTAGTTAATCTGGTTATAATAAACCATAATTGTCATTTAAGCAAACGTTTATCTCAATTAAACTATTGACAGTTACACTACCTTTGTACATAGATCAGGGACTCTAAACAAACAGACTTCCTCAGATCTCAGTGAATAACCGTGAAATGTCAACCGTCCAAGGAAACACCCACTCACGCTGCAGTGTATGCATCTCTCTGCATGCCAGCTTGCTCATTCGCTCTCTGTCTTGCTCATTCTTTGTGTGTGTTCTGTATCTCAATAATTCAGCAGCAGGCACAGGGCCGGAGGAGCTGCAGGGCTCACCGTGCAGCCTCGGTTAAAGCAAACAGCGGCGCTGGCTGGAGGCTCTGTAGGTTTTTACTGCAGCTGGTGCAGCAGATGTGGTTCTGCCTTTAGTCTGTAGCCTGTAAGCTCCCATCAGAACAGCATGGTGCTATCGGAGCACAGAGAGGAGATAGAGCCATGCACTCATTACCATCACAACATGAATCAGCTCACTTTCTTCTGGCTTTTTCTTTTTTCAGTGGAATCATAAATATTTACTTGGTCAGAGGATCCACTGTAGAGCATCATGGCTGCGCTTCACATCTTCTGTGCTTTGCAGCTGTTTGGTTTCTGAGATGTGAAAGACAACAATCAATGAGAGAACAGAAAGGTGTGTGTGTGTGTGTGTGTGTGTGTGTGTGTGTGTGTGTGTGTGTGTGTGTGTGTGTGTTATGACAGCAGACTGAGCTTGTGGTCCTCAGCAGGTGTCGTTCCATCGTCGTCTGTTAGTCAGTTTTGTCTCTGTAAGTGTTTCTAACTGAACTTGTATATTTATGTAAAATATCATCTTTAAGGTCTTTGCACAACAGGTTCATATTTTTCGTCAGCGTTTTTTAAAATTCGTCAGCCAATAAGTAATGTAATGTTGTCTAACATAATGTTATGTTAACAAATCTCACACATTGAGTTTTAATATTTAATATTCCATTTGTTGCGAAAGATTTGCAATACAAGACTAAATAATACAAGACTGATAATAATTAGTGTGAAATGGAATTTCGGATGAAAAATACGGACTTTGTCTGCAAATACATTTAGAAATCTACTCACTCAACATCTGCATATCAAGCAACCCCACATTGCCTTTGGTGTGAATCAAACTTGGACTCTCAATCACGACAAACTAACTTACCGAAGATGGATATTTAGGGTCATGTGTTACCAGTCCAAGCACTTATTTAATCTACAACCTCATCCTAGCCAGATCCACACTAAACTTAGTTTAGCGGAGGACGATGTGGCTTAGAATGCAAATGTCCAGCTCTAATATGTAGAATATGACTATTCTTCCTTCTTCTTTGATGCAGATGAGAAAGAGGATAACATCCTGGGAAGTATCCTGCTGCCGAGCTTTCACATCTCCATGTTGTCGGTGGATGACCACATCAGCAGGAAATACGCCTTCAAGGTAAATCTCCTGTGTCCAGCTGAAAGGGGGCACAGAGAGTCACAGGCTGGAGGACTGTAAAGGGCTGCTCCCAGCTACACAAATAGACTTATCATGCAGCCAGCCAATGGGAGCACATTTGCAAAATCAATCTTTTTATTGATTTTGCAAATACTTTAGACAGAGAGGTAGAACAGGACTAACCCCAAAACAGTTGGGATATACCGGATATTACATTCAGTCTCTTGGAGGTAGTGTAACTGTGACAAACCGCCACTGAATACAGAAACTACAAACACAACGAACAAACACACACATCACTCTGAGGAGGTACGGTAGAAAGATTGATTCAATCAGAGACAAAAGATCCCCACAACAACAAGCTCAATAACAACAACACAAAATAAATAGAAACAGAAATTAAGACAAAGAAAACTAAAAATAACAACAAAAAGAAAAGAAAAAAGGGAGGGTGTGGGGGGGGGCGTTTGTTAGTTCAATTTTTGGATTGCAGCGTCGTTGAAATCGTTTCTGAAAGGTTTCCAGGTCTCTTCGAGGGATTCACTGGAGTCTCTGAGTGAGAATCTGA